GCAAAGTACATTTTCTTTATATATGGAATAATTATTTTAAAATTATTTAGCTTTGTTATTTCAAAATATTTATTTAGTCTCAATATAGTTTTTTGAATTTTATATTTTTTTTTTAGAATTTAGTTTTGAATTTTATTTCATATTTTTGATATAATGAATATCTATTTTATTGCTTGTTTTTTTTATTATAAAAATTTTTTTTTTTAATTTTTCTCTTATTTCAATACCTTAGTGTTGGTTTTTATTAAATAATTTTTGATTATTTTTTTTTTTACTTTTTAATAATGTAGCTTTGATATTTTTTTTAAATTCAATCGCTTTTTTTATAAAATATATTTTTTGATATTTTATTCTCTTCATAATAAAATAGTAATTCAATATATATATATTTTTTTAAATATATCAATATTTATATAGAAAAACACAAAGAAAAACTATAATATCTTCTTAACAAAAAAACAAAATTATATTATATACAATAAAATATATAATTGTTTAGCCTACATATATATTTTATATCTACATTATTACTTTGCTAGAAACTTTTTCTCAATATTCTCTCGACTTACTCTTTCTCTCTCTTCACCATAATAATAATATATACTCAATAATTAATTTAATGCAAACATTTTGCGCCATATTTATACATTTGTATTTTTTTATTAAACTTCTAAATGCAAACTGCGCTGCCCTATATATCTCTATCTTTCACCCAGCCCCCATACCAAAAAAAATTTAATCAGAACCGATTTTTTTGGGATCAATTTTCACACTTCACTCTTGTCCACCTAAACCCCCAAACCCGCTAAAAACTAAAAAAGAAAACAAACATTTCCTCCCCCTTTTCACAATGACGTCTACTCACCATCTTCTTCCCACAATCTTTTTTGGTCTTCAATTTTTTATGCTCGCAAAAAAAAAAAACAAATATTTTTTCTCCATACTATTTCTCTCTCCATTTTTTTAACTTAGCCTCTATTTTTTTAAATAAAAATATATACATTTTGTTTATAAACATATAAATATTTTTTATATATAGACATTTGCCATATACATATATGATATTTAAAAATATTTATCTAATCGGCCTATTTTGTTCTCCTCTAATGGCTTTTTTTAATATATAAAATTATATAAAGAAGATTTTGTTGAGGAATGTCCCTTAACCCAAGAAATGATGCGAAGAAAAACAAAACATTTGTTGAAGTATTAAAAAAAATAATAATAATAATAAAATACTTTAACCCAAGAAACTACAATCTAAAGTTCTCCAAATCACTTATTTCCCACAGACTATTGCCTAGTTTTGGGTAAATATATTATATTTGTTAATCATATTTTTCTAAAAAAATATTTGCATGCTAAAAGCAATTTAATTCAATTCCAGAGATTTGCAATTAAGAAGGAATTCACTCTACATTTTTTTGGAATAAAAAAAAAATATTGCCTAATTTTAGGCGAACAAATCTCCATATTTTTATTTAAAAAATATTGCCTAATTTTAGACGAGCAAATTTCCAATTTTTTCAGAGTGTTGATTTTTCTTTAAAAAATATTTTCTAGCCAGTAAAATGGTGTACTTCATAAGCAATTCCAATGTCTTCAGGACAACTTCAATATAGGAGAAAAAATGGAGTCTACTTTTAGGACACATGGAGCCTACTTTCAGGCCATATTATTTAAGTGATTTCCAAATGTTATTTTCCTAAAAAACTTGCTATCTATGGTATTATTTGTGATAACGTTCAAGGACATTTTTGTTCCTTCCAAAAAAATTGCATATCTTTAGAGAAATTCAAGGATTTCCAAGTCGAATACCCTTTCAGAGAATGAAATGAAGCCTACTTTTGGGACGCATTATTTAAATTATATCCAATTTTCTTTTAAAAATATTTTTTTTTCTATGGAATAATTCATTAATAAAGTTCCGGAAATTCCTTCAAATCCAAAAGGATTCACTTTTTTCGATTGATTCCTTCTCTCACCCCCTCTCTGTGTGATATTGTATTTAAATCGCCCTATTATAAAATTGAAATGAACTTCAACAAATGTTTTTTGTTTTGTCATCTTCGTCTTCTTCTAACTTCTTCCCGAACCGTTAAGGTAAGTTCAGCCCGTTTAATTTTTAGTTTCAATATTTTGAATTTTTTTGGTTTATTCCAAATAGGAATGATTTTTTCCCATCTATATAAATGTAATAATAATAGAGTTTATAAACATAAGCATAACTAGTTGTGTAGAAGATAAATTCGGGTGGAGTTGCGATTGGACAATATGTTGGGCGTCAATTTAAAAAAAAATTTAAAATATTTTTTATTTTAATTTTTAATATTTGGAGCAGTAGGAATTTCTTATCAATCTACATTTTCGAAATTCTGACTAAATTAAAACGGGTCTCATATTGGGCGCCAAATTGAAAATTGATATTACATATTAACAAGGACTTCAAAAAAAAAAAAAAAAAAATATCACAAGAAAGACTATAATAAAGTAGAAGAATTTGTTACTGCCAATGAAGCACCATATTGTGCGCCAATTTGGAAAAATTTCGAATAAAATCCCAAGATAAATCGCACTATAATATCCAGGTATAACGTTGTTACATTTCCAATAATTGAAACATTTTATGATTCTAATAAGAATGGTCCACACAATGGGCGCCAATATTTAAATAATAACCCTAAGTAATGTTTTTATTTTCAATAATGCCAAAGGAAGTTCATTAAAACTTTCAAATAATTAGTTCTTTATATTTTCAAAACAATTGTGATAGACGAGACTGTCCCACATTGGGCGCCAATAAGAAAATTCAGCATTTTCGTTAAAAGTAGATCAAAATAAATTGCTATATTCAGTTTTAGTAACACCAAGAAGTCCACTTTAAATTCAGAATAACTTTTCTGACTTATCGTTCAACAATAGAATCCCACATTGGGCGCCAATATTAAAATACATAACCTAAAGGAATGTGTTTAGTTTCAATTATACCAAAATATGTTAATTATAAAGTGTAAACAATTATATCCTTAAATTTTCACTAATTGTAATTGATCACAGTGTCCACACATTGGACGCCAATAATAAAAATTCAAAGTTTTCGTTGAAATTAAAAAAAAAATAAATCGCAATATTCAGTTTTAGTTAGGCCAATTAAGTCCAGTATAAATATGAGAATAATTATGCCTTAATATATCTCTATATGATGGACCCACATTGGGCGCCAATATTAATATACATAACCAAATGAAGGTGTTTTGTTTCAATTATTACCAAAATATGTCCATTATAATTTATAAATAAATATATCTTCATATTTTCAAAAAGTTGTGATTGATCGCACTTTCACACATTGGGCGCCAATAAGAAAATACCACATTTACATTAAAAAAAACCAAAATAAGTCGTAATTTTAATTTTCCATAATACCCAAGAAGTCTACTATAAAATGGGAATGGTTATATCTTCATATTTTCAAAAATGTTGATTGGCCACATTGCCCCACATTGGGCGCCAATATGAAACCTCAATATTTTCATTATAAAAATCCGAAGCTTCTATAAACGTTTCCGGTATTGATCGCCAATCATATGACATAATATTGGGCTGTTCTTTCTTTTGCGATTGTATCTTTTGACGAACCCACATTGAGGAATTATTTAAAAAAATCATGAATTATTTAAAAAAATAATTTTTAAAATTATTAAAATTTTTGACAGGACCCGCATTGGGCGGGTCTTATGAAATTTTGTGTTCCTTTACGATTAGCGCCGTAATTGGAACATATAGAATACTTTTCAAAATTATGACATTTTTTGGGCCTGACTCACATTGGGCGCCAATTCATAAAATGATCATAAATATTGTACTAATGTCCCTATTTAAAAAAAAAATCCCCTTTAAAAATTGTCATTTGGGCGTTAAACATGTATACATGCAACTCCACCATTATCTTCTATATCCTGTGTGTAAATAATAAATCTAGAAGTAAATTCTTCTTTCCTCAAGTAGAACATTTCTTTTGTCAAAATATTTAGGTAAATTAGATATATACATATATTTAGAATATATTTATACATTCAAAAACCAAACAACAGCATTCATATAATACTTCCACAAAACAACAACAACGATTTTGCCATACTTTAACAAAACACCACCAATTACAAAAAAAAAAAAAAAATCCCCCAGCAACATAATTTATACTCCTCCTGGTCTCTTTTGTCCTCTATTTTTGGTGCAAGTCCTTTGATTTCTTCTTTTCGAAACTTATAGTAAAGTGATTTTTTATTTTTTAATATTTTCAACTAAGGAATGTGTAATGGAAAAATATATTTTCCTTTATATTTTTTTCCTTTTTTTTTTAATTAATTATAAAAAACTATTGAAATTTCTTTAGCAACTATCTAAGATTACTATATTTAAAAAAAAAAAACAAAAACCAAAAAATCATTATAAAATTCTAAGATTCACAAAACTATTAGAAATTTAGCAAAAACCAAAAACAACAAACTTTTCTACGTTTTTAAGTCAAATTAGTTTTAGTTAACTTAAAATTCTCCTAAACCAAAAACTACATAGTTACTATTTAGTTTTAAATTTAATTTTGGAAATCAAAAAATATCAAAAACCAAAAAACAACAAAAAAATTGAAAACCAGTAACAACAACACTCCCCCTATTAATTAGAAACCTAAATCTAATTATACTATTTTTCTTCTTATGAATTTTTTTCCTTTTAAATTTTTCTTGAAATTCTTTTTTACCTCTTAACAAAATATATATAATATTTATATATCCGAATCAAACCAACCAACCAAACAACAAACCGAACTGTGCACTTGTTATTTTTATTACCTTTAAATCTACTCTCTTATATATACCAAAAACAAAATATTGCTAATGAACTCGACACGACAAAACAAAAATATCCATTTACAAATCAATTCTCAAAACACTTGAAAACCAATCCATCCAATCCACCACAACAACCAAAAAAAAAAGGTACCGGCCATTTCTCTTGCCTATGAGCAAGCTGAGAGTGATATTATGAAACGACAACCCCGAGATCCTTATCGTGATAACTTGGTCAATCGCAGGTCAGAATTTTAGAAAATTAAGAAAAAAAAAAAACAAAAACAAAAAACTAGAACATAAATAAACACCATAACCAAAAACAAAACTACAACTTAGTACCAACATTTAAAAAATTCAAAACCAAACAAATTTTTTTTGTTGCAAAAATACCAAAAAAAAAAACTTGCCTAATTTAGAGTGTTCTCTAGTTGCATTGTTCAATTTTTAGAAATTTGTTTTCGTTCCAAAAAACCAAACACTACCTAACTCCCAAGGATACACCAACTGAAAAAATTACAACTCTATTAAAAAATTGGCATACAACAAATTCCACACACAAACAGACTTGACTACAACAACCACAACGTTCGTTTGTATATGTTTTTGTAGTTTTGCCCTGCCCCCAGTTCAATTATTGTTTGGTTTCAGTTCTGTGTTTTTGTTTTCTGAATTCGTTCGTCGTTCTGTTCTACTTAGTTAGACAGTTACAAAGTTTTAGCGGCAAACAATAGTTATGTTTTTAAATTTGTTCAAAACAAAAAAAACCAAACACTCATATTCTCAGAAAGTTTCATAATCATCATTAATAATCAATTGTTTTCAAAAGTGTTTTCAACGTTTTCTATGTTTCAGAAACAGAAAAAAATATTTGTAATTGTTGTACTTCAAATTAAATGATATTAAAAATTAACAATTTCCAAGAAAATTATGAAATTATGAAATTCCCATGGAAAACATTAAACCCCATGTTGGGCGCCATTTTTGAAAATGGTTAAATTTTACGTCTAAGGCAATTTAACAAATTACCCAATATATAGCACAATATTTTTCATTAAAACTTTTGAAATTCTCTTAAAAAACGTAAAACGCCACGTTGGGCGCCAACACTAAAATAATTATTATTTTTTCTTCTAATTAAATTTTACGTCTGAGGCCATCTAAAAAATTACCCAATATATAGCTTAATATTTTACATTAAAACTTTAGAATTTCTATTAAAAACTTAAAACCCCACGTTGGGCGCCAACATTAAAATAATAATTTTTTGTATCTTCTGAGTCAATTTTTCCGGAATGGCTTTTGGCGAAAAAGGTCTGAGGCAATTTACTCATTAAAAATTTAAAATTTTCAAAGATATGCGTATAGAAATTCTCGTTAGAACGTGCAATCCCACGTTGGGCGCCACTTAAGATTTTTTAAAGGACATCTGACATTTTTAATTCAATAATTCTAAAATCTCCTAAAAACCTGGAACAATACGTCGTTGGGCGCCATTTCTAAATTAATTAATTCGTAATATTATAAAGAGATTGCCAATAATTAATATAATAATATTATATTTTTTAAAGAAGTGTATTGTCCACGTTGGGCGCCAATTACTAAATACCCTATTTTCTTTTTAAAAATGTTCCTTGTAAAAACCACGCAAATCCATAATGCGTTCACATTTTTTTTTTTTTTTAACAACAATTACAATTTATTTTTCTTGGACAAAAAAAATCTTTAAAAAAATGTGGCCTATATTTGTCGAAATTTCTCCATTTTTGTCTTTGTTTTCATTACCACCACTAAAAGTGTTTTCATAACAAGCACCTGTATTCTGATTTAATATTCTGAATGTATTTTATTCTTAAAAAAAAACGAAAAAATAATTGGTTACTATATTGGATTGGTTTGAATTTACTCTTCTATCATCGGATTTTTTTAAAGTTCTATATTTCATTCTAAAGATGTCATCATTCTCTTTGAGTGTGTCAAAATTCTAAATGTATTACTATCTATAGCAAAAACAAAAATTTTCAAAATTATTTACCAAAAATTCAAATTATTTTTTTTAGGTTAAAATATTACAAAGAATTTTGAATCCCCCCAAAAATTTATATATATCAAATAGAAATTATATACATACATATATACTAATTAGTAAACAAATAACCTAGACCAAAAAAAAAAAAAAAAAAAAAAAACAAAAATAGATATAGAAATTTTTAGTTGCAGCCTAGTGCAAAAAAAAAAAAACTAATAATAATAACAATAGATATAGAAATATTTAGTTGCAGCTTTCTTATAGAAAATGTATAGACATTTTTATTAGAAAATTATTTTGTAAAAACAATTATTTAGTATATTTTTTATTTAAATATTAATTTTTATTATTTCAATAGAGATTATAAAAATATAGGGACCATTTTTCTTATGGACACTTTAGAAATTCCCTTAAAAACGTAAAATCCCACGTTGGGCGCCAATTTAAGTTATTATCTTCTAAGGCGCAATTCTCCAGGAATGGTTTTTCTGGAAAAGCATCTGAAACAATTCACATATTTTATATTAATTTAAATTTAATATTAAATATTAATATTAATTTTCCCCATATTGGGCGCCACACACATTTTTAAATGCCAGCCTGCACTCGTTAAGCCATTGTTTTTTAATTTAAGGTAATTTTTCAAATTACTTAAAATTTTCCTCAAAAATAAGAAACCTTATGTTGGGCGCCATTTCTGAAGGACTATATTCTTAACTTTATAGAGAAATGAAATAAATAAATAACATAATAATTTCCAAGAACAAAAATTAAATTCCCAAGGAAAACATTAAACCCCACATTGGTCGCCATTTGAGAACGGTCATATATTAAACGTCTAAGGCAATATATAGAATTAAATTGGGCGCCAATTTCTTTAGGAATGTTCTTTATTAATGGTCTTTCTGAATGACGTCTGTGCCGATTTATTCATGAATAATATATATTTACAGAAATATGTATTAATACTAGTTGGAACGTCAAACTCCATGTTGGGCGCCTCTTGCTAAATATAAATTTTATAAAATGTCAGTTTTCACTCGGTGAGCCCATTTTCCAAACAACATTATATTTTCCATTCTATTCTGTTGGATTATTCTAAAACAAAAAACATTTGGGCGCCATTTTGTATTTTTTATGGAATTAAAAAATAATAATAAAATACTTCATTATTTTTCTAATATTTAAAATGGAAATAGAATTTTCAGGTTGGGCGCCATTTTTGAGGATTTTATAATTCGGCAATAGTAACACATACGTTTAGGCAAAAATCTCACTCTTAGTTAAACTCAATATTATTTCATATATTATAACAAAATAGGAATTTAGTCGTCTACTTCTTTCCTATTTCTCACTTATTTTCATCATAATTAGTACTTTAGGTTGTATTCTCCGGAGGATCGATTTTTTAGTTTGAATTTTTAAATAATTATTTTTTTAATTTATCAACTAAAGAGTTATATGACCCAGGTTAAGCGTAAGTAATAAAAAAATGTCTCTACTATTTTTTTACAAATTTCTACAACAACAAAAAATCAGCTCTTATACACCGATAAAAAATCAAGAAATTTCCCTTCTTTTTTGGAGAAGGGAATGGAAAAAATACGAAAAAAAATTGTGCACGATTTTTTCTACATCTTCTACTACTTCTCTTGTTCTTCTTCTACTTCTTATTGTTCATCATCTTTAAAATATATTGTATTTATTTGTTTTTATTTATATAAATATTTCTTTTTTATAATGGCATAATGCATGTAAAGCTTTCTAGTTTGAAATAAAAAACGAAAAAGCTTTTCACCTATCAGCTGTAAATATTTATGTGGCATGTTGCAAAATACATATTTAAAAGATTATATAAAAAAATCATCACATTTTTTATGTTTCAAATGCTTTAATAAAACAAAAAATTAAAGTGCTTTGCTTTTTGTCCATTTTTTTTATTATTTTAAGCAATAACAGCAATGTTTATCTACGACGAAGAAAAAAATATGAATTTTTTTTTTAATTTATAAAAAATATATATTTTTTAAAATTCGAAAAAAAATGTAATCTTTATTTTGGAAAAAAATTTTATATTCATAAAAATATATATTTTTTTATTCATATTTTTTTAATTCATAAAAAATAATTTTTTTAATTCACAAAAAAAATAATTCAATAAAAACAATTGTATTCGCATCTTTTCAATGCATTAAAAATGTAAAAATTAAATTTTACAAAAAATATTTTTTCGAATTTTAAAAAAATATATTTTTTATAAATTAAAAAAATCGAATAAAACAATATGAATTAAAAAATATTTTTTTTTCGAATTGTGAAATAAAAATATTTTTTTGTATGAATTAATTTAAAAAAAATATTTTTTTAATTATTTGTTTTTTTAATATCTATTTTTTAAATGTTCAAAATGTTGTTCAAAATAGTATTCTTCGTCATAGATCAACAATACTGTCACATACTTGCTTTCTTTATATAATTTTCAAAAACCAACACAATTCTACCAAAAACAAAAACATGTTTTATGCTGTACAGATTAAAAAAAAAAACTCTTACACTAGTTTCAAATTTTACGTTTTGCTCTTGCCGCTAATGAAAGCTAAACGCCGCCGACGCCTCTAAAGCCGAACACGCATTTGTAACAATTTCCCACTTAAAAAAACAAACAGCTTTCAAAAAACAATAATGCTTTTAATTAAAACAAAACTCTTTCAATACCCTAGTGTGTATTGAGTGCGTCTTGTATTGTATTAAAAATAAAAAAAAAACATTTTTTTTTTTTTTTTGTAAAATTTTTGCAAGTAAAAGGCAAAAGAAAAAACAAAGCTTTTTTAAATACGTTCAACACCCCTCCAACCCAGTACTCTGTCTAACTATAAACTTTGTACTATTGCCCCCCAAAACCTACAACTATTCTTTTTTGTAACAAAGTGTAAAATCTTCTCTCATTTGTATACAAAAATTGATTTTCAAAAATACCAGCAATTCGAAAATATTCACTATTTAAAAAAATCCACCATTTGTTCAAAATTCTTAAATTTAGCATTTTTTCTACTAAAAAACACATTTAATAAATCAAATTAATTGGTGTTGGTTGTAAACAAAAAAATCTAAAAAAGAGTATTTAATGTTAAAGTTTTTAAAAAATAAGAAATTTTTGAAAATTTAAAAATAAAAAAAATTAAATTTTTGTATTAAAAAAATTTAATATTTTTTATTAAAAAAATTTAATCAATATTTTAAATTAAAAAAAATTTTAATTTAAATTCCCAATTTATAAAAATATTTTTTATTATAAAAATTTAAAACTTTAACATTACCAGTAAATACTTTTTTTAAAAATTACCCTGTCCCTTTTACTAACCCCACAAAAAATGCTAAATTCAAAACTCATTTCAAATGATACTAAAAAAGAGAAAAAAACTACTAATTTTTTTTTACTAAAAAACCAAATACTAACACATTTTTAACTGAACTAATTTATTTCCAAAAATAATCTAAACTATAAAACAATTATTAATCATTTTCAATTTTCCCCCCCTTACACCCTCATCCCCATCATTGTTGAACAACAGATTGATTTCCATGGCCTATGGACAAATTGGTATGATCCAAGCTGCTGCCGGTTTCTTTGTCTACTTTGTTATTATGGCTGAGAATGGTTTCTTGCCATTGACATTGTTCGGCATCCGTAAGATGTGGGATTCCAAGGCTGTCAATGATTTAACCGATTCCTATGGTCAAGAATGGGTAAGTTCAGAACACATTCCATTGAGAGAATATTTGATATTAATTTTGTTTTTGTTTTTTCCTTCAACAGACCTATCGCGATCGCAAAACTTTGGAATACACCTGCCACACAGCTTTCTTCGTTTCCATTGTGGTTGTACAATGGGCTGATTTGATCATTTGCAAGACCCGACGAAACTCCATTTTCCAACAAGGCATGAGAAATTGGGCCTTGAACTTTGGTTTGGTATTCGAAACCATTTTGGCTGCCTTCTTGTCATACTGCCCCGGTATGGAGAAGGGTCTTCGTATGTACCCACTCAAGTAAGTAGAAGAACAAAACGACAAATAAAATAAATTATTATACTAGATATATAAGGGATTATAATTATAATAACCCAAGAGACCTCTGTAGCTTTCGACAGGCCTTGAGTAGACCCACAATCTCCCCTTGTGTCTCCTAAGCCGAAGGAAGTACCTTCGAAGAAGTTTCTCTTCTTTGATTAAAGAATATAATTACATTTTACCATCTCGATATTAAACGTTCGTCCGATTAGAAAAAAATCACCATAGGCTATCGAATTGAGGCTAGAATGACGTGTGTAAATTTGCTTTAAATCGGTTCCAATTTTCAGATAGCTCCCATATGAAAATACTTCCGATTTTACATAAATCGCGCACAACGGTGTTACGTTTGTCCGATTGATACGAAATTTTGAACAGCGTAATGAATTGGGTCCTGGATGATGTGTGTTGAATTTGCTTATAATCGATTCGGATTTTGATATGGCTCTAACATAAAAATCGGTTCGATTTCATGTTAATGGTGCACCAAAGATCCAATTTTATTCCGATTGATACGAAATTTTGCATACAGTAACGAATTGGTCAAAACGGTGCGATTGACACGAAATTGTGTATAGTGTATCGATTTGAGCATAGTAAGTCATGTGTCAAATTTGCTTTAAATCGATTCAGATTTCGATATAGCTCTCATATAAAAATCCATCAGATTTTATGAAAAAGGGGCACCGAGTCCCAATATCAGTACGATTTACACAAAATTTAGCATAGCGTACGGAAATGAGTCTAGAATGATGTGTGTCAGGTTTGATTTAAATCGCTTCAGATTTCGATATAGCACCCATATATATTTTACTCCGATTTTGTCAAAACGGCTCACTAAAGACCCTAAGATGGTTCAATTGATCCGAAATTTTGTATAGTGTACCGATTTGAGCCTAGCAATACATGTGCCAAGTTTGCTTTAATTCGCTTCATATTTCGATATAGCTCCCATATAACAATCCGACCGATTTTATGTAAAAGGTGGACCAAAGTCCCAATCCCAGTACGATTGACACGAAATTTTGCATAGCGTATCGAACTGAGTGTAGTATGATGTCTGTCAAGTTTGCTTTAAATCGCTTCAGATTTCGATATAGCTCCCACATAGTATCTCCTTCGATTTCGTCAAAAAGTCTAACCAAAGACCCTAAGTTGGTCCAATTGACACGAAATTTTGTATAGTGTACCGATTTGAGCCTAGTAGGGCATGTGTCAAATTTGATTCAAATCGATCCTGATTTCGATATAGCTCCCATATAAAAATCCTTCCGATTTCAGGAAAAATGTGGGCCAAAGTTCCAATATCGATACGATTAACACAAAATTTTACATAACGTACTGAAATGAGCCTAGCAAGACATGTGTCAAGTTTGATTCATATCGCTTCAGATTTAGATATAGCTTCCATACAAAATTTCGTCCGATTTCATGTAAATGGTGCACAAAAGGCCCGAAATTTGTTCGATTGTCCTGAAATTTAGTATATGCCACTGAGATGTGACTAAAATCTCATGTGCTAAGTTTGCTTGAAATTGGTTCAAATTTAAATATAGCTCCCATATAAAAATCCGTCTGATTTCATCCGGTGTTTATGTAGATGGTGCACTAAGGGCCTAATGTTGGTTCGATCGATACGATATTTTCCACATCCTACTAAATTGAGTCCAGAATAGCATATTCAAGTTTGCTTTAAATCGCTTTACATTTATATGTAGCTCCCACACATAATAAAATCCGCATAGAAAAACATGTTTTAAATTTGGTTCAAATCCATCAGACCTATTTTAACATTTTCTAATTTTTTTTTCTATCTTCTGTTTTATTTCAGACTCGTTTGGTGGTTCCCAGCCATTCCATTCATGTTGGCCATCTTCATTTATGATGAAACTAGACGTTTCTACTTGCGTCGCAATCCCGGTGGCTGGTTGGAACAAGAAACCTACTATTAAACAAATCAGCAACAAAAAAATACCAACAAAAACATCCTTCTCCTCCAACACCACCACCACAACTCTACACCTCCCTCACACATTATATATTACTGCATATACTATTTTTGTTATATGGCTGCTTCATCCATTTCGAAATGTTATCCAGCTCTGCTGCCATCCACAAAATACTATTCTCCATACCACCACCACCAACAACACCACTACCGCCCGCTAAGCCTCGAAACTTTGTTACATTAAAAAACAACAAATTCAACTACATCAATCACCATGAAGAAGAAGAAAAACGTCAACATCTTTAAAAACCTGGAAGAGAAATCAAATCAGCTTCTTCAATAAGAAAAACCGAATTAAAAAAATTAAACAACCACATGGAAACATCGACGATTTACACACATAGAACAAAAATACATATGGCTCTCGATGTTTGGTGTTATTTAAATTATTATAAATAAAGATTAATAAATAATAAAAATAAATAAATAAAAAAAAAATACAAAAAAATTATAAATAAACAAAGTAAACTCCCTCTGCCCCCTTTAAAAACACAAAACAAAGAACAAACAAATAAAAAAAAACAAAGGACAGGAGATAAGAAATTAAAAAAAAAACAAACAAACAACAAATAGATGATTTTTAGAAGAAAATACAAAAACCATACTGCTATTTAAAATTAAGATGCAACAAAAAAACCAACAACAACATCATCAATAATAGAATGAAAAAACCAATTTTGTTTTTGAAAACCAAGTCGAGGATAAACAATATCCAAATATCTTCAGGTCTTGGAAAAAACTTACAAAACAACTACGAATGTTTTTTTAATTTTGTTTTTTTTCGGATGTAGAAGAACAAGAACTAACAAAGAAAGAGAGAGTGAGTGAGAAGGATTAGTAGAAAAAGAAATAAAAGAAGGAAGACGCTATTTTGGTGGAAGATGCAGATGTTTAATTTTTTTCTTTAGAAGAATAAGTAGGAGCATTATTCTTGTATGCCGCCTCTATGTTATGATGAATATTATTAATAATAAATAAAAAACAAGAACCCTAAAAGTTAAAAAAATGAAAAGAAAAAAAAAACAAAACAAAAAAATCTAGTTTAAATCTATTATTATTATTATTAATTACTATTAATTAATAAAAAACCAGTTTTAATTAATTTGTAAAATCAACAAAATACATACAAACAACAACCACAAGTAAACAGCATTAGAGTAACAACAACAACTAGCAATGCTGATTTAATTTTTAAAAGTGTTTTTTAGAAACTAGTTTTTGTTTTTTTTTGGAGAATAAGAAAAACATTCTCTGTTTTCTGTTTTATTAATTAAAAAACAAACAAAATATCCTTCCACCATCAAACTGGAATTAATAGTAGAACAGCCTATAAACAAATAACGAACTCATGCGCCGCCCTATTATGGCCAGCTATTCTAAAGCTAGGCCAGCAAATAAAGCTAGCCAACCCCCTCTTTCTCCATCTCCACCAACACCACCACAACAGTAGTAGCATCAAAAATCCAGCAAATCCAATTATTACTATTAATAATATGATTTATTATTTTTTTTTAATTTTAATTATTATTATTTAATAAAAAAAAAAACAGAAAGAAACAAACAAAAAAAAGAGAAAGATAATTATTTAAACGATTAAGTAAATTTAAATTATAAAAACATAAATAAGATTTAAATTAAATAAATAAAAAACAAAAAAACAAAAAACTAAAAAAACCTAAGAAACTATGTTACCCTTTTTCTTCACTTTTAGCGCAAGATGTGTGTGTGTAGTAGTAGTCTAGAAGTAGATAATCCTCTTCTTTAGTGGAATATTTAAGTAGGGAATTTCGAAATTTTTTTTAGGAATGGAGGTTATTTATCCAATTTTTTTCCTACCATCAAAATCATGTTGAGAGTAAGAAATCGCTTTTAGTCTTTGAATATTTGTTTTCGAGAAATCAAGAATAATGCTGATCCTATATTAACCCAATGTTAGTTCGATTGACACGAAATTTTGTGTAGTGTTTCGATTTGCGGCTAGCAAGACATGTGCCACGTTTGCTTTAAATCGGTTCAGATTTAAATATAGCTCCCATATAAAAATCCGTCCGATTTCATGAAAAAGGCTCACCTAGGGTCTTCGGTGAGCCTTTTAGTCCGATTGGCACGAAATTTTGTGTAGTGTAGCGATTTGAGTCTAGCAACACATGTGCCAAGTTTGCTTTAAATCGCTTCAGTTTTAAATATAGCTCCTATATAAAAATCCGCCAGATTGTATGAAAAAGGTGGACCAAAGACCCAATATCACGACGATTGACACGAAATTGTGCATAGCCTATCGAACTGAGTCTAGTAGGATGTGTGTCAAGTTTGATTTAAATCGGTGCAGATTTCAATATAGCTCCCACATGGAATTTCCTCCGATTTCATGAAAAAAGCTCACAAAAGACCCTATGTAATTCCGGCTGACACGAAATTTTGTATAGTGCATCGATTTGCGGCTAGCAAGACATGTGCCAAGTTTGTTTTAAATCGGTTCAGATTTCGATATAGCTCCCATATAAAAATCCGTCCGATTTCAGGAAAAATGCTCACCAAAGACCCTAAGTTAGTCCGACTGACACGAAATTTTGCGTAGCCTACTGAATTGAGCCTAACAAGACATGTTTCAAATTTGATTTAAATCGCTTCAGATTTCGATATAGCTCCGATATAAAATCTAGTCCGATTTCATGTAAATGGTCCATAAAAGACCTAATGTTGAATCGATTGTCCTCAAATTTAGTATATACTACTGAGTTGCGACTAAAATCACATGTACCAAGTTTGCTTGAAATCGGTTCTGATTTAGATATAGCTACCATATAAAATTTCGTCCGATTTTATGTAAATGTTGGACTAAAGACACTACATCTTTCCGATTGACACGAAATCTTGCGTAGCCTATTGAATTCAGGCCAGAACGACGTGTGCCAAGTATGATTTAAATCGGTTCCGATTTTGTTATAGCTACCATATAGCAATTCTTCCGGTGTTTATGTAGATGATGCACCAAGGGATTGGTCTCTATACAGACCAATTGGTCTTTATAAAGACCTTCGGTCTCTATACAGACCAATTGGTCTATATAAAGACATTTGGTCTCTATACAGACCAATTGGTCTACATAAAGCCCTTTGGTCTCTATACAGACCAATTGGTCTATATAAAGACATTTGGTCTCTATACAGACCAATTGGTCTATATAAAGACCTGTGGTCTCTATACAGACCAATTGGTCTTTATAAAGACCTGAGTGGTCTCTATACAGACCAATTGGTCTTTATAAAGACCTGAGTGGTCTCTATACAGACCAATTGGTCTTTATAAAGACCTGAGTGGTCTCTATAGAGACCAATTGGTCTTTATAAAGACCTGAGTGGTCTCTATACAGACCAATTGGTCTTTATAAAGACCTGAGTGGTCTCTATACAGACCAATTGGTCTTTATAAAGACCTGAGTGGTCTCTATACAGACCAATTGGTCTTTATAAAGACCTGAGTGGTCTCTATACAGACCAATTGGTCTTTATAAAGACCTGAGTGGTCTCTATACAGACCAATTGGTCTTTATAAAGACCTGAGTGGTCTCTATACAGACCAATTGGTCTTTATAAAGACCTGAGTGGTCTCTATACAGACCAATTGGTCTTTATAAAGACCTGAGTGGTCTCTATACAGACCAATTGGTCTTTATAAAGACCTGAGTGGTCTCTATACAGACCAATTGGTCTTTATAAAGACCTGAGTGGTCTCTATACAGACCAATTGGTCTTTATAAAGACCTGAGTGGTCTCTATACAGACCAATTGGTCTTTATAAAGACCTGAGTGGTCTCTATACAGACCAATTGGTCTTTATAAAGACCTGAGTGGTCTCTATACAGACCAATTGGTCTTTATAAAGACCTGAGTGGTCTCTATACAGACCAATTGGTCTTTATAAAGACCTGAGTGGTCTCTATACAGACCAATTGGTCTTTATAAAGACCTTCGGTCTCTATACAGACCAATTGGTCTTTATAAAGACCTGTGGTCTCTATACAGACCAATTGGTCTTTATAAAGACCTGTGGTCTCTATACAGACCAATTGGTCTTTATAAAGACCTGTGGTCTCTATACAGACCAATTGGTCTTTATAAAGACCTGTGGTCTCTATACAGACCAATTGGAGTTTATAAAGACCTGTGGTCTCTATACAGACCAATTGGTCTTTATAAAGACCTGAGTGGTCTCTATACAGACCAATTCGTCTATATAAAGACCTTTGGTCTCTATACAGACCAATTGGTCTTTATAAAGACCTGAGTGGTCTCTATACAGACCAATTGGTCTTTATAAAGACCTGAGTGGTCTCTATACAGACCAATTGGTCTTTATAATGACCTGAGTGGTCTCTATACAGACCAATTGGTCTTTATAAAGACCTGAGTGGTCTCTATACAGACCAATTGGTCTTTATAAAGACCTGAGTGGTCTCTATACAGACCAATTGGTCTTTATAAAGACCTGAGTGGTCTCTATACAGACCAATTGGTCATTATAAAGACCTGAGTGGTCTCTATACAGACCAATCGGTCTTTATAAAGACCTGTGTTCTCCATATGAAGATCTATTGTAATGGAAGAGAGACGAGGGACATTGTGTTTACTTCTGAAGTTGAAGGTATAAATTTAAATATTTGAGTATTTTATATATCTGAAAATGCAAACATATTTCTAATTTCAAAAAATAAATTTTGGATACCAGTTTTTTAAATAATTTTTTTCTACAATTTACTTTTCTATTCCAAGGCTAAAAATCAGTGACCGATAGTTATATGTATGAGGTTTACTTGATTTTTGTTGAATCAGTACTCAGATTAAAAAACCGTCGTCGTTGGTTTGTAACCGACAATTTTAAATATTTTACAGGCCTGAACATTGTGAATGAAGTTTTTCTTTTAAAACTTCATATTGAATTTACTTACTTAACTACTAATATTTATACCGCCAAAT